TCCACTGAGAAATGTCAGCAAGAGAGTGTTGCAAAGAACCTATTTAGGATTGGGCTTTGGGTGATTTGGGGGAGGATTTAAGGAAGCAGAGTTTCACTTTGGATTGGGTGCTGTCAGAAAGCAGGGACAATTGTACGATTTGTTATCTCAATAAATATCCATAAGATGGGCAGACGAGAGCAGGGATAAAGCTGCAATTGGTAAAGAAGCAGCAGTCACTCAGTAAAGAGGATGTTTGATATTTTGTGGGTTGTACAGTGACCTTGTTTTTGTTTCCTTGCACAGAATTATGAAACGGGCTTGTTTTGTCTCATTCTGTAATGGTCTGAGTGACCAAGTCTGATTTTGGTGTTCTGTGAGATTGTTATATCCAACAGATAACATAGCCTCGCTCTGAGTGCCAGGTCAGCTAATAATACTGAGACCTAACAGGGTCAGACCAGTTCTAGTGTCAGGGGCTGCTTTTCTCTTCGTCAGGCTTTTACCCTGAAAGAGGAAGCCACTGGAGGGTTTTGAACAGAGTGACATGATCTGATATGTTGTATGGACCATGTAACCAATGATGTCACAATGCCCTACTAGACTCCAACTTCTCTGCTAGGGAGTTGTGGATCCCTTGGAGCTAAGGACTGGAACTGACATGCGAGACCGCTACCAACTGAGGGCTTCATGAGCATACTCCTTTGCCAAGATCTTGGTGAAGAGTCACTGTGTAATTGTGTCTTAGAAATTGTTTTATCATGATTGTGCTTGGCTGGATGCTTTTTGTTGGACTTGCATGTTACATGGGCACATTTCCAGAGTTCATGGTAAGTAATGACCTTGCCTGTAAATCCCTGGTAATCAGTCAGGCTTGGCTCTGGCTGATCTTCCCAGTTGGGGTTTCTGACCAAATGGGAAAGATAGTTGAGGTCTCACCGCTAATTAGAGGTCAGAGTGTGATGGGAACAAAGTTAGTTTCCTAGGCTACTTCTCACCCCATTGGGACACCTTTAAGTACCTCCCACCCTCAGGTACATAATGTCACTTATTTCAAAGCATGGGATTTATAAGGGGTCCACTGGAGATAATACCTGACTTCTGAATTTCAGGCCAAGTGAATTAGTGGTTGGTAGTAGGAAAGGGAAGGTGTGCCTTAGGTAGGACATTTCAGCAGCCCTTCCAGTCACATACAGAGGCAGTTACCTACTGGACCAACGAGTAGAGCTATGTCTGCCTTTAAATTTCTTTCTGACTCAGCCTCCAACTCTGAGGTGGAAGGAGAGGTGGCTTGTTCAGGAAAGCAAGGCACGACGGAGGAGCCTGGCTTTGGATGAAGATCTGCAGCTGTGAGTGGTGGTCAAGTCTATTGGGCTGGATTCCTCCCTTTCCAGAGAATTCGATAGCACCCTGAAATCTCATTGAAGAGTTTATTTTCCTCTGGAAGATAAAACTATAGAAGGAAAAATGATTGAAGGCAGATGGTAGGG